ATAACTTTTATGTCTTAGAGAAGAACATTGATGGTTTAGAGAGAATATCTTTGATGAAAAATGATGTCTTAGATTAACTTTGATGACTCTGTGAATAAGTTTGATGACTTTGAGAACAAGTTTGATAGCTCTGAGAATGACTTTTATGCCTCTGAGAATAACTTTGATGAATAAAGATGTTTTGGAAAGTTTCTCTGAAGAACGAAGGTGACTCTGAGAATAACTTTTGTTAGCTCTTTGAATAACTTTGATGTCTTTGAAACAACTTTGATGAACGAGAGTGAGTTAGAGATTACCTTTGCTAACTCTGAGATCAACTTTGATGAACAAAAGAGAGTTAGAGATTACATTTGATAACTCTAAGATTAACTTTAGATGTCTCTGAGACAAACTTTTATAACATAGAAATTAACTTTAATGGCCAAAGTGAGTTAGAGAATACCTTTTGATGACTCCGAGAATAATTTTGATAGCTCTGAGAATGACTTTTGTTGTCTTGGAATAACTTTTGATGACTCGGAATAACTTTTGATTGTGCTGAGAATAACTTTGAGGGCTTAGAGAATGTCTTTGATGAATGGAAGAGTCCCATTGAAGTCTTAAGGAAGTCTTTGATGTCTCGAAGGATGTCTTAGAGTGTAACTTTGGTGTCTTTGAGTAAGTCCTTGATGTATTGAAGAGTGTCTTTGATTTCTCGAAGAGTAACTTTGGTGTAACGGAGAGCACCTTTGACTATTTTTCTTACTTAGCGACATATAATTTTAGTTACGAAAGTGCTGAAAAAGTTACATTTGACTATTTTAGTGCTCCACAAAGTATAAATGTCAGTTAAGAACGATGATGATAGATATCTTTGACTATATTTTCTTACTTGACGATGGATAAAGTTAGTTATGAACAGTGCTGAAAAGATTCCTTTGACAATTTTTAGCTAAGCGAAAGGCTGTTTTAGTTAAAACGGTGTTGAATGAGGTTAATCCTGACTATTTTCAGATGAGAGAAGTGATATTTCAGTTAAGAAATGACAAGGAAACATGATGAAGTAACTATTTTTAGTTGACTGGATAATAAGTTTAGTTATGAACAGTGTTGGAAAGATTCCTTTGACAATTTTTTGGTTGATTGGATAATAAGTTAGTTGAGAAATGAGGAAAGTGACTATGTTTCAGTTGATTGGCGAAAGATTTTTAGTTAAGAAGTTACAAGAAAGGTTTGTCTTTGTAAATTTGGAACTGAATAAAGTGTAGATTTGTTTAAGAACATGGCTGGTAGAACTATTAAGTTGACAACGAGAATTACTTTGATATAGTTTTGAAAATAAAACTTGGTGACTAAAATTGTTGAGGGAACTGTATTGCTGATGCTAATATTTGACAAAGAACTAGTTAGCGAATGGAAGAAACAAAGAACATAAAAAAATTGAGGTTAAGTAAGGGAATGAACACAGTGAACATACGGTGAACACAGAAAACACGTAAGAAAAAGTTGATGAATAGAGTGAACATGCAGGGAATAAGAACTTATAGAGAATATGAAAACATGATAAGGAGAATAGGGAATACAAAGAATGAACAATGGATTTGTGAAGAACATGGAGAATATGACAAAGAATGTAGAAAACATGTAAGTGAAGGTGAAAAACGAAGTGATCTTGTGAGGAACATGAACTTGTAGAGGAACATGAATATTGACAAAGAACACAAAAAATATGGAAGTTAGCATGAATATTGAGTATAAAGTTGTAAAGAGAACATGAGATGAACATGAAAACATAGAAAATATGACTAGAATTTGTAGAGAAAGTAATGAGACTAAGAGAAAGATTACAGAAAAAATGGAGATACTTGTGAAAATATGAACTGAATGGGACTGTGAACATTTGAAGAACATGGAGTGAACATAGAAAACATGGACAAAATGTGAAGAACACAGCTGAATATAGAGAAAATATGCAAATACAGTACGATTATTGAAGGTTTGGATACGTTGGGGATTGATACGTTGGGGATGAGAAGGGTAAAGTAATTACTCAGATAAACAGATAGGCTGGAGAGGGACTTGATCGAATATATTTATGTCTGATGATCTAAGGCTGAGGAAATGGAGCTTGGTTAATGTCCAGATTAATTTTACTACGTTAGAAAATAAGGTGATCTTAAATCTCAGGGTGATTTAGTTGGAAAATAAAGAACTTGCACAAATGAACTAAGCTGGGGCACAAGAGTTGAAACTTGATAACTGAACTGGTTTTTATTTACTATGTCTGAAAATGTAGTTGGGTGATTTGGACTGAGAGTAATGATTTTACAAAAGTGAGCTTGGACAGAGGACAAGAGCTAGTTTTATAATTGTTTACTTCATATTTACTATGTCTGAAATACAGAGGGTAAAAAATTTCAGGGAAATTGATGGTTTATTTACAAAGACTTGAGGGTGGAAGAGGGTGGGGGACGAGAGCTGGAGCTCGATAACTGACTTGATTTTATTTACTAACTTTGAAGTATGTCTGCTTTTAATTTTAGGGAAATTGATGGGTTATTTACAAAGATACGAAGGAGAACTAAGGCGGGGACGAGAGCTGGAGCTCGATAACTGACTTGATTTTATTTACGGTGTCTGAAATACAGAGGGTAGAAATTTCAGGGAAATTGGTGGTTTATTTACAAAGATATGAAAGAGAACTAAGGCGGAGGACAAGAGCTGGAGCTTGGTAACTGTTTTGATCTTATTTATGGTGTCTGAAATACAGAGGCTAAAAATCTCAGGGAATTTGGACTGTTACTAATGATTTTGTACAAATGAACTAAGCTGGGGACAAGAGCTAGAGTTTGATAATTGTTTGCATTTACTAAACTATGTCTGAAATACAGAGGGTAGAAATTTCAGGGAAATTGGTGGTTTATTTACAAAGATATGAAAGAGAACTAAGGCGGAGGACAAGAGCTGGAGCTTGATGCTAGAGTTTGATAATTGTTTGCATTTACTAAACTATGTCTGAAATACAGAGGGTAGAAATTTCAGGGAAATTGGACTGATACTAACGAAGATACGAGAGAGAGCTAAGGCGGAGGACAAGAGCTGGAGCTTGGTAACTAAATTACTGTATTGAACAACATTTGAAATATGATTATTTTTAAATTTTGGAATGATAGTATTCTTTATACGACAGGGGACTAAGGTGGGGAACGTGAGCTAGAACTTGCTTACTAACATGATTTATTTGTGTAAAACTGACTTGCTTAATGAAAAGGAGCAAACATACTGACTTGCTTAATGAAAAGGAGCAAACATACGATGTTGGAAAATAGTTGAACTGAATGAAAGGAGAGAGAGAGAGAGGGGGACGGTCCAGATATTATGAGAAGATAACATAAGATAAGAGGTCTGGCTGACCGGGCGTAAAGTAAACACAGGTGAGGCGACAGATTGCGAGGTAAGGGGGGGAGGGAGGGGGGTGTGATGTACGAAACCCTGAAAACAATGACTTACACAGGTGATTTTCTAAATTTATATGAATAACTAAGGCTTACATAGACGATTTTGTAAGTTGAAAACATGTAAAATATGTCCGTAGAGTTCTCCTGGAAGCCCTAAAGTGCTACACACGTTATTTGAATTTCTCCCATAAGGCTTTAACAAACTTCTAAGTCTCGGAAATTATTTTTTTCATAAGAACTTTAGCAAACTCGTATGACATTATTTTTCATTATAAGAATTCCCTAATTCTAAATCTGTGACTCCCCAAATTTGCCTGAAAACCCTGGGGCGCACAGGGGATATTCTAAATTTACCTGAAACCCTTGGGGCGCACAGGTACTTTTTTTTTCCCAGAAAAAAAAATGACCTGTGTGGAGCCATCCCTTACCTGAAACCCTTGGGGCGCACAGGGGATATTCTAAATTTACCTGAAACCCTTGGGGCGCACAGGTACTTTTTTTTCCCAGAAAAAAAAAATGACCTGTGCGTCGCACACCCTACTACTATGCTGCACGGTTAACGCTGTGGGGTATGCTGCACGGTTAACGCTGTGGGGTATGCTGCACGGTTAACGCTGTGGGGTATGCTGCACGGTTAACGCTGTGGGGTATGCTGCACGGTTAACGCTGTGGGGTATGCTGCACGGTCAACGCTGTGGGGTATGCTGCACGGTCAACGCTGTGGGGTATGCTGCACGGTTAACGCTGTGGGGTATGCTGCACGGTTAACGCTGTGGGGTATGCTGCACGGTCAACGCTGTGGGGTTGGATGAATCTAGTGTCTGCCTCACCACAGGAGGCCAGACACAGGATACACAATAGGAGATGAAGTCCTTCATGAAACGGACAGAGAGAAAGATCTAGGAGTTGATATCACACCAAACATGTCTCCTGAAGCCCACATAAAGAGAATAACATCGGCGGCGTATGCGAGGCTGGCTAACATCAGAACAGCCTTCAAGAATCTGAGTAATGAATCATTCAGAACCTTGTATACCACATATATAAGACCAATCCTGGAGTATGCGGCCCCAGCATGGAGCCCGTACCTTGTCAAGCACAAGACGAAGCTGGAAAAAGTCCAGAGGTATGCCACTAGGCTAGTCCCAGAACTAAGAGTCATGAGTTACGAGGAAAGGCTGCGGGAAATGCACCTTACGTCGCTGGAAGACAGAAGAGCTCGGGGAGACATGATCACCACATACAAAATTATCAGGGGAATTGACAGTGTAGACAATGATGGATAACTTAACACGGGTGGTACACGCACAAGGGGACACAGGTGGAAGCTGAGTGCCCAAATGAGCCACACGAGGCTGACTCCTTACACAGTTTCATATGTAGATATGATAGAGCTCGAAATGCTCAGGAATCTGTACACCTGTAGATTGACAGTTGAGAGGCGGGACCAAAGAGCCGAAGCTCAACCCCCGCAAGCACTCTACACACTGACCAATATTCGTAAACCGCTTAAAAGTTAGATCATTTACTAAAGGAAATTAGTAGAGTGTTGAAGCACCTTACCTGGAACTCTTCGTGCTTGAATAGTAGGTGCTGCAGTGGTGATGCTTCACTGATGGTGCTGCACTGGTGGTGCTGCAGTGGTGGTGTTTCACTGGTGGTGCTGCAGTGGTGGTGCTTTACTGATGGTGCTGCACTGGTGGTGCTGCAGTGGTGGTGTTTCACTGGTAGTGCTGCAGTGGTGGTGCTTTACTGATGGTGCTGCACTGGTGGTGCTGCAGTGGTGGTGCTTCACTGATGGTGCTGCAGTGGTGGTGCTGCACTGGTGGTGCTTCACTGATGCTGCGCTGGTGGTGCTTCACAGGTGGTGTTTCACTTGAGGTGCTTCACTGGTGATAGTTCACTGACAGTGCTTCACTGGAGGTGCTTCACTTGTGGTGGTTCACTGGTGGTACTTCAGTGGTGGTGCTTCAGTGTTGGGGTTCACTGGAGGTGCTTCACTGGTTATGCTGCACTGGGGTGCTTCACTGATATTGCTGCACTGGGGTGCTTCACTGATGGTGCTTCACTGGTGGTGCTGCACTGGGGTGCTTCACAGGCGGTGCTCCACTGGGGTGCTTCACTGGTGGTGCTGCACTGGGGTGCTTCACTGATGGTGCTTCACTGGTGATGATGCGCTGGTGGTGCTTCACTGGTGGTGCTGCACTGGGGTGCTTCACTGATGGTGCTTCACTGGTGATGATGCGCTGGTGGTGCTTCACTGGTGGTGCTGCACTGATGCTGCTGCACTAGCGGTGCTTCACTGATGCTGCTGCACTGGTGGTGCTTCACTGGTGGTACTTCACTAGAGGTGCTTCACTGGTGGTGCTTCACTAGAGGTGCTTCACTGGTGGTGCTTTACTAGAGGTGCTTCACTGGTGGTGCTTCACTCTTGTGCTGCACTGGTGGTACTTCACTTGTGGTGCTGCACTCTTGTGCACTGGTGGTACTTCACTTGTGGTGCTTCATTGGTGGTGCTGCACTGGTGTTGCTTCACTGGTGGTGCTTCACAAGAGGTGCTTCACTGGTGGTGCTTCACTAGAGGTGCTTCACTGGCGGTGCTTCACTAGAGGTGTTTCACTGGTGGTGCTTCACTAGAGGTGTTGCACTGGAGGTGCTGTACTGGTGGTGCTTCACTGGTGGTGCTTCACTGGTGGTGCTTCACTAGAGGTGCTTCACTGGTGGTGCTTCACTAGAGGTGCTTCACTGATGGTGCTTCACAAGAGGTGCTTCACTAGAGGTGCTTCACTGGTGGTGCTTCCCTAGAGGTGCTTCACTGGTGGTGCTTCCCTAGAGGTGCTTCACTGGTGGTGCTTCACTAGAGGTGTTGCACTGGAGGTGCTTCACTAGAGGTGTTGCACTGGAGGTGCTGTACTGGTGGTGCTTCCCTAGAGGTGCTTCACTGGTGGTGCTTCACTAGAGGTGCATCACTGGTGGTGCTTCACTAGAGGTGTTGCACTGGTGGTGCTTCACTGTTGGTGCTGCACTGGTGGTGCTTCACTGGTGGTGCTTCACTGGAGGTGCTGCTCTGGTGGTGCTTCAGTGGTGGTGCTTCACTGACAGCGTAGCCAGGTGCAGGTGCTTGAGGAATGAGCGTTGCCACGAAGCCTGAAGCACACCCGCCAGCATGACCCGAGGACAGGGACAACAACCTGGCAGGTCAAGCCGTGGCTGGTGGTGACGTCAGAGGGCGGCGCAGAGCGGGTGGCGCAGGGCGGGTGTGGGCGTAGTGACTGGTTGCGGGACGGCAATGAGTGCGGCGCGCAGCTCGAGTGTGGAGGCACTGGGTGGGTGAGGGCGCGCAGGGTGGGTGTGGGCGCCCAGGGTGGATGTGGGCACTCAGTGTGGGTGTTGACACACAGGGTGGGTGTGGGCGCGCACTGTGGGCTGTGGGCGCGCAATGGGTGTGAGGGCAGGACGGGCGTGTTGGCGCAGAGCGGGGTGTGGGCGGCCAACGTTGTCTAGCTGGCGGTGGTGTGTGTTGTTGCTTTATATAGACGGTAGGTGGCTGGCCTCCCCACTCGCACGCCTCACACCACACTCCTTCCTCTTGCCTCTCCCTCCCTCATAACTCCTTGGCAACACCCCTGCCTCACCTCTCATAGTTGGCCTGCCTCACCTCTCATGGTTGGCTTGCCTCACCTCTCATAGTTGGCCTGCGTCACCTCTCATGGAATTCCTGCCTCACCTCTCATGGTTGGCCTGCGTCACCTCTCATGGTTGGCCTGCCTCACCTCTCATGGTTGGCCTGCCTCACCTCTCATGGTTGGCCTGCGTCACCTCTCATGGTTGGCCTGCGTCACCTCTCATGGTTGGCCTGCCTCACCTCTCATGGTTGGCCTGCGTCACCTCTCATGGTTGGCCTGCCTCACCTCTCATGGTTGGCCTGCCTCCCCTCTCATAGTTGGCCTGCGTCACCTCTCATGGAAGGCCTGCCTCAGCTCTCATGGTTGGCCTGCGTCACCTCTCATGGTTGGCCTGCGTCAAATCTAATGGCAGCCCAGCCTCATCTGTCATGGTTGTCCAGCCTCACCTCTCATGGTTGGCCTGCTTCACCTTTCATGGTTGACCTGCCTCAGCTCTCATGGTCGGCCTGTCTTTCCTGTCATGGTTGGCTTACCTCACCTCTCATGGTCGGCATGTCTTACCTGTCATGGTTGGCCTGCCTCACCTCTCATGACAGCCCTGCCTCATCTGTCATGGTTATCCAGCCTCACCTCTCATGGTTGGCCTGCTTCACCTCTCATGGTTGGCCTGCCTCAGCTCTCATGGTGGGCCTGTCTTGGTTGACCTGTCTCACCTGTCATGGTCGACCTGTCTTACCTGTCATGGTTGGCCTGCCTCACCTCTCATGGTCGGCCTGCCTAACCTCTCATGGTCGGCCTGTCATGGTTGGCTTACCTCACCTCTCATGGTTGGCCTGCCTCACCTCTCATGGTCGGCCTGTCTTACCTCTCATGGTCGGCCTGTCTCACCTGTCATGGTTGGCTTACCTCACCTCTCATGGTTGGCCTGCCTCACTTGTCATGGTTGGCATGCTTTACCTCTCATGGTTGACCTGTCCTCTTCGTTCTCTCTCTCTCTCTCTCTCTGTTTACTGGTTTACGTCCCCGTATGACGGCCCGAGTGTTAACATCTTACATGATCGGAATAGCATCTGTTATTACCATAGAAGGAGCGGAGATTGCACGGTTATTTCAGTGGTAGTAGCGGGGTGCGCGGTCTAGTTATTACAATGGTGGCAGCGGTGGGATAACGAAGAAAGTCGTAAAGGCTTAGTACGACGTAGCAGAAGAAACACCTGTAAGTGGATGGAACCCAAGAGCTGGAGCCGGGACCCGAGGGTTCTGCCGCCACGCCCATCCCGCCTAAACGAACTGGAGCTGTTCACTCATCAAGTTAGACCTCGTCTGGTGTCAACGTCTCAGTACTCCCAGGAAGACAACATGTATGCGGCAGACAGAACATCGCCAGCAGACGATCAGCAGGCGACAACATCTTACAAGAGGATGGAACCCAGGTACGCCAGAGTTCCCCCGTGACCGGACAGCAAGTCAATCATCGCTGTCAACACCGACGTCATCGCCTCGTCGACGACCCGGAAGGATGGACCAGCAGCGAGGATTGTGGACTAGATCAGTGGAAGACTCTAGTCAGGAGGGGAGTGGATCTCTTCTCACAACAACTGAGGCCAGCTGAAGAACATCGGTGGTGAAGAACACGACGCATCGTTGCAGAACAACAGCGAGGATACAACGATGGGCGAGTCAACAACATCGTGACAATGGACTCGTCGAGAATAAAGACTATTTGTTAATTTGCATATACAATATATATGTAGTTTTTTTTAAAGTTCAGAAAACTTGGTGTTCACCGTTACAGAGAAAATAAGTTATGAATGACAAATTTTGTGTCGACTCTGGTGAACTGGGGAACCAGCGGAAAGATGGTTCCAGTATAAATTTAATTGTTTATCATAAATTGTGTTTTTTTCAAATTAATGTTGATTTGTCATCTGAGAGGATGATGGGCTGCCATGCAGGTATGGTCAGCCTGGATTTTGAGTTACCATGGTAACTGTTATTGTTGAGAGTTTTTTATAAATATTTCTCGACTGTGAGATGTATATATTTAGATAGGGTAGCTATTTTTTCGAGGCATGTGCTAGTTCCTTTATGGTCTGGGATAAGAAAAGCCATGTTCGAGTTCCTCGCCCACGGTTTTTCTTAAACCGGGACATTGGGGGATATGTAACAAGAGAGCAGTACATAGTACTACAACATGAACATCATAACAGCAGGAACAAGCCACAGGCGCGGCGCCAGTCAGGCGGCGGGAAACAATGGAAAAGTTACACCTCTGTACAAGTTAACCATAGGGACAGGTCAACGGTCACCGAGTCACGAGGAGGTCAGAGTTGATGCCGTCAGGATAATCTTCAGGGATTAACTCCTCCACATCAAATGTAAAACCCTCATGTTCAGCTGGGGAGCAGGAGATCAGGGAAAAGAGACAGGTGGGTGCAGCCCAGTAGGACGGTGTGGGTGGACTCAGGGAGGGAACATCATCTCCAGATGAAGACACCATCTCTATAATGTGGAACATTATACGAGTAAGTACGGCTCTCTTGTACTAAAGCACCTCATGCAGTACTCATGGCCTCTAGTAGGAAATATAGTTAGGGAGTATCTTATTTAATTATTTCAAATAAATTCATATATTGTCAAGTGTTAGTAAATGTGTATTAATGGTTCCTTGTCTTAGTGATATTGGGCCTACCGTCCCCCCTTTGCCCTAGTGACCTAGTGTCCGTAATTATCCAGTACTCCTCCCCCCCCCCTGTCCGTCCCGTGTTGAGGTGTTAGTATTGGGTGTGTCCCGCCTTATTCTTATGTACTCTATAGTTCCCAAGTGGTTGTTGAGGTGTTCGTACTGGGTGTGTCTCGCCTTATTCTTGTGTAGTTTATAGTTCTCCCAAGTGGTCAGGATTATTCGAGTGTCAGACCAGGATCCTTGTACCGTTCAATTGTCCCCTACACCGGTCCTGGTAGGTTTATACCATCTGCAAGACCTACGAATCTCACTCCAGTCCCCTGTCCGGTAACTCAGGGTGGTGGCAGCGTAACTCGGTAACTCATACGACGGCTGTGACTGTAATATCTCTATCTTTCTGTCTCCCCGTCCTCACTAGTTTTCCCCTCGCATTTTTGCCTCACTCTCTCTCTCTCTCTCTCTCTCTCTCTCTCTCTCTCTCTCTCTCTCTCTCTCTCTCTCTCTCTCTCTCTCTCTCTCTCTCTCTCTCTCTCTCTCTCTCTCTCTCTCTCTCTCTCACCTCTCAGTTCTGCCTCACACCTCTCAGTTCTGCCTCACCTCTCAGTTCTGCCTCACCTCTCAGTTCTGCCTCACACTCTCAGTTCTGCCTCACACCTCTCAGTTCTGCCTCACACCTCTCAGTTCTGCCTCACACCTCTCAGTTCTGCCTCACCTCTCAGTTCTGCCTCACCTCTCAGTTCTGCCTCACCTCTCAGTTCTGCCTCACCTCTCAGTTCTGCCTCACCTCTCAGTTCTGCCTCACCTCTCAGTTCTGCCTCACCTCTCAGTTCTGCCTCACCTCTCAGTTCTGCCTCACACCTCTCAGTTCTGCCTCACCTCTCAGTTCTGCCTCACCTCTCAGTTCTGCCTCACACCTCTCAGTTCTGCCTCACACCTCTCAGTTCTGCCTCACCTCTCAGCAGTGTAGCCAAACAGTTTATTGCGTCTCATTATAATCCTTCGTGTGTGTTAACATATACTTTCACTGTATATCCCTGCTAGAGTAGACAGTCTCTCATTCACCGTAGTAGTGAGCAACATTGTCAGGAACATTGCCAGGACCTTGACAGTACCTGGAAACGTTGACTGTAAATAATTGTCGTTGATAATCTCCAACAGGTCAGCGAGGTGTCTGATTTACGCAAATCTTCTCACGTCAACACAACACTAAATTCTGTTCTCAATTTGCCTTTTTCCTGCATGACAAAGGCCGCAGTTGCTTGTAGTAGTGCATGACCAGGGAAGCCTTTGGTGTACACTGGAAATGTCTTTACTAATAGTAACTTGCTGCTTCTAAACAATGAGTGAAGGTGAACCTCGTCCTGCTCTACGAGGACCTCACTCACCTCCTTTGCTACATCTGATCTGATAAATTGTCTTCTGTTTATCTCACGTGACGGCGCAAAAGCTTCACATTCATCTCTTAATTACTGAACTACAGAAGCGATTAATGAAGCCTTAGCCTGCATTAATATTTCTAGACTGAGAAAACATGATGTCAACACCAGGCATAACTTTTAAGAAAATTCCCAACCATAACATGATTGAGAATCACTCACAGTTATCTTAATACAGCTGCTGCAGATCCATTGTCTCTTGACTTAGAGTCTTCCAGAATGCTGCAACAGTCAATCAATGCAGCTGACATTGCAGAGCAGCGTTGACGGTTCTCCTCTCAAAATTCCAAGGTGTTGCAGACGTCCTGGGAGCCTGGGGCCAGATTCACGAAAACACTTACGCAAGCACTTACGAACCTATACATCTTTTCTCAATCTTTGGCGGCTTTGTTTACAATTATTAAGCAGTTAATGAGCTCCGAAGCACCAGGAGGCTGTTTATAACAATAACAACAGTTGAATGGGAAATTTTCATGCTTGTAAACTGTTTAATAAATGTAACCAAAGCCATCAAAGATTGAGGAAAGATATACACGTTCTTAAGTGCTTGCGTAAGTGCTTTCGTGAATCTGGCCCCTGGTGGCCAGCAACATTCTCCAGTGATGGCCACTCTTTGTGGAGACTTTTGTAGGACTGTTGCTATACCTGACAACCTGTTAGACAATGTTGGAACATTGGTGTTAGTAAATGTGCATCTAGGCTGTCATCTAGGCTGTCATCTGGGCTGGCATCTAGGCCGGCAGCTAGGCTGGCATCTAAACTGTCATCTAGGCTGGCATCTAAGCTGGCATCTAGGCTGTCATCTAGGCAGTCATCTAGGCTGTCATCTAGGCTGTCATCTAAGCTGGCATCTAAACTGTCATCTAGGCTGTCATCTACGCTGTCATCTAAACTGTCATCTAGGCTGTCATCTAGGCTGTCATCTAGGCTGTCATCTAAGCTGGCATCTAAACTGTCATCTAGGCTGTCATCTAGGCTGTCATCTACGCTGTCATCTAAACTGTCATCTAGGCTGTCATCTAGGCTGTCATCTACGCTGTCATCTAGGCTGTCATCTACGCTGTCATCTAAACTGTCATCTAGGCTGTCATCTACGCTGTCATCTAAACTGTCATCTAGGCTGTCATCTACGCTGTCATCTAAACTGTCATCTAGGCTGTCATCTAGGCTGTCATCTAGGCTGTCATCTAGGCTGTCATCTACGCTGTCATCTAAACTGTCATCTAGGCTGTCATCTAGGCTGTCATCTACGCTGTCATCTAAACTGTCATCTAGGCTGTCATCTAGGCTGTCATCTAGGCTGTCATCTACGCTGTCATCTAAACTGTCATCTAGGCTGTCATCTAGGCTGTCATCTAGGCTATCATCTAGGCTATCATCTAGGCTATCATCTAGGCTGTCATCTAGGCTGTCATCTAGGCTTTCATCTAGGCTGTCATCTAGGCTGTCATCTAGGCTGTCATCTAGGCTGTCATCTAGGCTGTCATCTAGGCTGTCATCTAGGCTATCATCTAGGCTGGCATCTAGGCTATCATCTAGGGTGTCATCTAGGCTGGCATCTAGGCTATCATCTAGGGTGTCATCTAGGCTGTCATCTAGGCTGTCATCTAGGCTGTCATCTAGGCTGTCATCTAGGCTGTCATCTAGGCTGTCATCTAGGCTGTCATCTAGGCTATCATCTAGGCTGGCATCTAGGCTATCATCTAGGCTATCATCTAGGCTGTCATCTAGGCTATCATCTAGGCTGGCATCTAGGCTGTCATCTAGGCTGTCATCTAGGCTGTCATCTAGGCTGTCATCTAGGCTGTCATCTAGGCTGGCATCTAGGCTATCATCTAGGGTGTCATCTAGGCTATCATCTAGGCTGTCATCTAGGCTGTCATCTAGGCTGTCATCTAGGCTGTCATCTAGGCTGTCATCTAGGCTGTCATCTAGGCTGTCATCTAGGCTGTCATCTAGGCTATCATCTAGGCTGTCATCTAGGCTGTCATCTAGGCTGTCATCTAGGCTGTCATCTAGGCTGTCATCTAGGCTATCATCTAGGCTGGCATCTAGGCTATCATCTAGGGTGTCATCTAGGCTATCATCTAGGCTATCATCTAGGCTGTCATCTAGGCTATCATCTAGGCTGGCATCTAGGCTATCATCTAGGCTATCATCTAGGCTGTCATCTAGGCTATCATCTAGGCTGGCATCTAGGCTGTCATCTAGGCTGTCATCTAGGCTGTCATCTAGGCTGTCATCTAGGCTATCATCTAGGCTGGCATCTAGGCTATCATCTAGGGTGTCATCTAGGCTATCATCTAGGCTATCATCTAGGCTACCATCTAGGCTGGCATCTAAGCGACGCTGTAAATGCTTCACTGAGTTCACTGGACATGTTCGACAAAGTGGTAATTAAACTTCTAATTATTCAAAGGAATTTAATTACCACTAGCAACACTTGACATCTCATTAGTACAGCTAGGTGAGTACAGGTAAATGACCCCAGCTAGGTGACCCCAGGTAGGTGACCCCAGCTACACGGTGAGAGCTGGAAACAGAGGGAGGACTAGGAGGCAGACGTTGAGGAATGCAGAGAGGAAGAGATGGGAGACGTGTGAGCGATATATGGTACACTTAGCGAGGCGGGAACGACCTGGTGGTGCCGAGGTTGGCCCTTCACTGTCACCCTTATCTCCCCTCATCCTCCATACCAAATACCAAACATGGTTGACGACGGTCCGGTTATCCCGCCACGACACTGCATGGTCGCGGCGCTCACTGCCAAAGAAATTGAAATCTTTAGCAGTAAATTCGATAAATTAGGAAAGGCAGAAGGCGGGAGACCAGGAGCTTGAGCTCCGTTCTGTATATTATATGTAGGGCTGCCTCATATCCTGCATAGTCACATGTAGGTGATTGTTGATAAAATATTTAATCACAAAGCCAGACATTAAATGCTCAGAGATATTTAATAAGGCTGGTGGCAGGCCTGGAGCGACTGACCTGCAGGGGGAAGGTTGTGGTGGCTGGCCCTCGCGACACACTACAGATGGAGACATGGCAGCGACATATAAGATCAATAGGGAAAGATACATTGCAAATATCGAATTTCCGGAAGGAACACAACAAGTGGGGTATACAGATGCTGTCCTAACACAAGCTCCCACCTTGGGAAAAATTAAACAGTCCATTGAACTCCTTGGAAGGAAATGTGTTGAGCTCGGGTTCACACTCTCCACCAACAAGACAAAAGCATACTCTCATCACAAGCGGGGAGAAAATGAAGAACTGCAAATTAATGGTGTAACACTTGAATGGGTTGACTACTATCGGTACCTTGGCGTCATTGTCGGCTCTAACAAGGTGAAGAAAGAGGAGCTCAACCAACTCATAGGAACATGCAAAAGTCGACTCAGGGTACTGAAAGCCATGGCCTGGAATAGGCATCGAGCCTCTATTGCCGTGCTCAAAATGATGTACACAGCCTATGTGCGCTCCGTCATAGATTATGCCGCACCAGTTTTGTGCACCTACTCCCAAAGCGATATGAAAAACTTGAAAGCATTCAAAATGAAGCCATGACAATCAATCTTGGCGTCCCAAGAACTGCCAAAACGTCTAATCTACAAAAGGAGTTGTCCCTCCCCAGTGTTAAAAGCAGAATTAAGGAGCTGAATGCTACGCTTGCAATTAGGATAGCCAGAAATTCCTATTACAATGATATTGCCAAGAAAAAACAGAGTTCTGTACTACTTTCTGGAGGAAACAGGAGAAGCAGAAAATGGCATCACAGATCAGTCTGCTACCTGGAAGAACTTCACCTGCTTGAGCAAGCCCGTGAGCTCCTGCCTGTAGAGAGGTTACCTCCCTGGGAGGATGACTCATGCAGGATTATCATCAATGAAATGACAACTAAAAAGTTCAACATGATAGCTCAAGAAATGAGGCACAAGTATCTGGAGGAAATCTATAAAGAAGCCGGAAATGAGCTAGATAAAATCAACACTGATGGATCATCTAACCCTGTCAATGGCAGGGCTGGTGCAGCATACACTGTAAATTAGGAATAATGCCTTACAACGTGGAAATGAAGGAAAAGCACGTATTGAGAAACTATGCCTCTTCAACACAAGCTGAGCTAACCGCCATTGTTATGGCGTTAAGATTCCTTGAACGAAGCATTAACGATGCAGTGATCTGCACTGACTCTGAAGCAGCGCTACAAAGCCTTACTTAAAATCGGTCAGAAAATCTTGCGATAGTCGCTGAGATCAAGAGAGCTGTGAGAGTACTGTGAGCTGGGAAGAGTCGTCAAGTTTCTTTGGATCCCTATGATGTTGGAATATATGGGAATGAACGAGCAGATGTGCTGGCTGCTGAAGGCGCTGAAGGAGACCATATTGAATACGTCAGAAAGGAGGATAGAAGCACAAACCAGTGAATCTGTACGATGATACAATATGGTTGCAGCTGGTAATCCCAATCATTTTGGACGAAGAGGAGGAGGATGCGGGAGAGAATCAGTAATAGAGCGAATCCGTCTTGGATACAAATATCCATGGAGATTCGAAATGGGAACAACAGTTGAGCAGCGGAGTTGCAGAATCTGTGGTGAGAGTGACGGACACCGCCTTGACCACAACCTGCGTGAACACCTGAGAGACATTAGAAATATGTGTACAATAATAAACCCCCACAATGAGTTAGGAAAACACTATTTGTCAAATATAGATACTGTTCTTAGAAGATTCCCCCATTTTGGACCCGCATGATAACGTAAGCTTTTAAGGGTTGACGAATGTTAATCTTCTTGTTTGAGAAGCTGTTCGCTTGAGACAGTTAAGCAAGTCCCAGCTGTGTCTGGGTACAAGTGACAGGATGAACAATCCAGCGGGTTTTCTTCCTATTGGGGAGTGTTGTACATGCTGTTATGGCGGTGTGTCCCCTCACAGGATGAGTGGCGCTCTCCAATACTATGGCGGTGTGTCCACTCACAGGATGAGTGGCGCTGCCCAATAAACTCGCCCCTCGGAGCAAAATTTAATTTAACAATTTTAAAGATGAACGAGTAAGACTTGTCCAGTATGGGGAGTGGAAGAACAAAGCAACTTGATGGGGGAGCAAGAACACATTACAGGAACCCCACGGAACAGATAAAAGCGTCAATATATATATATATATATATATATATATATATATATATATATATATATATATATATATATATATATATATATATATATATATATATATATATATATATATATATATATATATATATATATATATATATATAGGAACCAGTGACTAGGTATAACAGGAACCAGAGACTAAGTACAATAGAAATAAAGATAACAGTATTCTGCAGGAGAAGGAGTAAAGACTTAAGAGACAGGTGGCGGAGACCATACAAGAGACAACGCCAGAAATGGATGTGATAAGAAGCAGGAGGGTCGGATAACACTGCATTAGGCAACCAACACTTTGTTGAAAGGCGGGGCTCAGGTGAGCACACACACACACGCACAGGAGTATGATGACAACAAGGCATGCATAGATGAACTGCAGAAGGCAGCAACACTAGCTCACAGAACGAGAGCGAAGCTGCTGATCATGGGGGACCTAAATCATGGAGAGATTGGGTCTCAAGGAATCCCCCATGGAGGGGACGAAACGTGGGGAGCAAAGTTAGTAGATGTTATAGACAGGAATTTCCTAACACAACATATGAAGGAAGACACAAGGGAAAGCGGAGGAGATTCGCCGAGCCTATTAGAACTGATTTTCACCCAGAACATAGAAGACATCGAGAATTTAGAGCATGAAATACCTCTAGGGGCCAGCGACCATTGTGCCCTAGTCTTTGACTACATGATGGAACTCAAACTTATGACCATGGGACAAGAGGTCTGGGAAAGGAGAGTTGACTACAGGAAGGGGACTATAGAAGGATAAGGGACTATCTGGGAGAAGTGCAGTGGGAGGAAGAAATTAGGGGAAAAACAGCCCATGATATGATGGACCTAGTCATATGGAAATGCCAGGAGGCCGAAGAGAGATTTATACTAACAATAAAGGGAAAAAATAAGAAGGAATATAATAACCCATGGTTTAATAGACAGTGTCAGGAAGCAAAAATGGCCAGCAGGAGGGAGTGGAGGAAGTACAGAAGACAAAGGACAGAGGACAACAGGATCACATGCAACAGAGCTAGGAACGATTACATTAAGCACAAGACAAAGTTAGAGAAGATTCAGCGGTATGCCACCAGGCTCGTTCCGGAACTGAGTGATGTGGTGGAGGCAGACTCCATACATAGTTTCAAATAGCTTGAATAGTTCCCAAGCATATATGCAAATGAAAACTCCAAACCCCAGAAGTGACTCGAACCCGGACCTCCAGGAGCACATTGCAACTGGTTTCACGGTGCCTTAATCCACTCGACCATCAGTGACTGCACTGTCTCCCCCCCCCTCTCCCACAGGGGAGGGGGGGGCAGACACTGTCACTTACCAATGGGGGGGGGGGGCCGGAGGGCGGCGAGACGTTGAAAAATATACTCACTTTCGCCGAAGATAAAGTTTACATTTATAAGTGAATGGATCAGTTTAATTGGGATCAATCGTTCAATCCCCGACCGTCCAAGTGGTTGGGCACTATAGCACCCCGACCGTCCAAGTGGTTGGGCACTATAGCACCCCGACCGTCCAAGTGGTTGGGCACTATAGCACCCCGACCGTCCAAGTGGTTGGGCACTATAGCACCCCGACCGTCCAAGTGGTTGGGCACTATAGCACCCCGACCGTCCAAGTGGTTGGGCACTATAGCACCCCGACCGTCCAAGTGGTTGGGCACTATAGCAGAGTATAGCTGTGTTAGCTGTGATATAGACACTACAGGGTGAACACCGTCTGACCAACACAGAACACCTCTGTGCCTCTCTACACACACACACCCGTGTTCATATATGCCAGAGTGTTCTCCACCTGTGGTTATCATGTCCTTTAGAAGTGTTCTTCATGTTCTACGTTAATGTTTCTCACAATCCTGTTAGTCCTGTTCTTCTCGTTTGTTTGTCTTCTTGCCAGGTATGTTCTCCGTGTGATGTGGATATGTTCTCCAGGCATGTTCTTCAGATAGGTTAGAGAACATGAATGAATGCTTGTGGCTGCACAAGAATGTAAGGTAAGAGAGCTTTTACATGTTCATTGTATACTACTCGTGTGTTCTACGGTTAATATCGTGCGTGTTCTTTGTTCACATGTGTTTTTTTTTGTAGTAAAAATCAACTGGAATAAAGAACAATTATACAACCTTTTCAAAATTCAGATATAATGATATACATTGAAGCAGATATAATTATATAATATTATAGTAAGCTTATTACGTATATATCATAGAAAATGTATCTTAGAAAACCGAGATCAGTTAGTAATCCGGTATATGAGGAAATGAATTATACATTCTGAAAATAAATGAATTATACGGCTGTTTACACTGGTGTAGGAGCCATTTAAAAACGCTCAGAGTATTGGCATAATGTGCTAGAACTGTTGCAGGTTATCTCTGAATTATCTCCATAATACATCAAACTTGTCTGCTTTTATCAACTTTTATGGTAAGCGGGTAATTTTGGTATTTATTTTGATATGTATAGATCAATGTTTACCTGGAGGCGCACGAGTGTATCGGAGAGTAAGCGAGCAGCCCGCAGGGGTGGCGAGGCAGGTAGGCGCTGCTGCTGCTGCTCATCACCTCCTGCCTCGCCTTCCACCACCCAGCTATGTTGCCTCACCCAGTTTTTGTTATAGACCGTATAAACTGCTGCTTCGTTAATGATATACAGAACGAAGACACGTGGAGCGCGAACGGCTCCATCAGATACTAGAGTTGTGTTTTGTTTACAACTGATGCATTGGTTCTTGTCGGCGCTCGGCTCCATGTTGGGGCTCGGCCTTTTTCTGTTTGTTTTTTGTTCTGGCTGTACTAAACAGCGGTTTGATGAGAAGTTAAGGCGGAGCAGAGCGGCCAACAGGAGCCTGAGTGATCTAGAGTTATGTTGAAGCTTGGACAGCTGCTGGGAGCGTTGTGACGTCATCGCCGCACCCACCATCCACGCCCTTATTGGCTGATGCCCATGACGTCACTACTTCACTAAGGTATGAGAGCTTCTCTCAATAACGTCACCTGATCCCCAAAGCTCGAAATGGCTTCTGTCAATGATTTTGTTACAGTATTTCATATAGACGTTATCACATCCTGCCAATGACAGCTTCCACAGCCAATCGCGGCTTGGGTGACCTGACATCAACAACAGAAGACAATCGCGGCTTGGGTGACCTGACATCAACAACAGAAGACAATCGCGGCTTGGGTGACCTCACATCAACAACAGAAGACAATCGCGGCTTGGGTAACCTGACATCAACAACAGAAGACAATCGCGGCTTGGGTGACCTGACATCAACAACAGAAGACAATCGCGGCTTGGGTGACCTGACATCAACAACAGAAGACAATCGCGGCTTGGGTAACCTGACATCAACAACAGAAGACAATCGCGGCTTGGGTGACCTGACATCAACAACAGAAGACAATCGCGGCTTGGGTGACCTGACATCAACAACAGAAGACAATCGCGGCTTGGGTGACCTGACATCAACAACAGAAGACAATCGCGGCTTGGGTGACCTGACATCAACAACAGAAGACAATCGCGGCTTGGGTGACCTGACATCAACAACAGAAGACAATCGCGGCTTGGGTGACCTGACATCAACAACAGAAGACAATCGCGGCTTGGGTAACCTGACATCAACAACAGAAGACAATCGCGGCTTGGGTGACCTGACATCAACAACAGAAGACAATCGCGGCTTGGGTGACCTGACATCAACAACAGAAGACAATCGCGGCTTGGGTGACCTGACATCAACAACAGAAGACAATCGCGGCTTGGGTGACCTGACATCAACAACAGAAGACAATCGCGGCTTGGGTGACCTGACATCAACAACAGAAGACAATCGCGGCTTGGGTGACCTGACATCAACAACAGAAGACAATCGCGGCTTGGGTAACCTCACATCAACAACAGAAGACAATCGCGGCTTGGGTAACCTGACATCAACAACAGAAGACAATCGCGGCTTGGGTGACCTGACATCAACAACAGAAGACAATCGCGGCTTGGGTGACCTCACATCAACAACAGAAGACAATCGCGGCTTGGGTGACCTGACATCAACAACAGAAGACAATCGCGGCTTGGGTGACCTCACATCAACAACAGAAGACAATCGCGGCTTGGGTGACCTGACATCAACAACAGAAGACAATCGCGGCTTGGGTGACCTCACATCAACAACAGAAGACAATCGCGGCTTGGGTGACCTCACATCAACAACAGAAGACAATCGCGGCTTGGGTGACCTCACATCAACAACAGAAGACAATCGCGGCTTGGGTAACAATCTGACAGAATGTTACTAATGTAGCTGATGAGATGTTAAACAATAGGATGATAAAGAGTAAACATTTATGTATGTAGAAGCTGAGACAGGTGGTACCTGCTGCTGGTGACAGTAGGTACCTGCTGCTGGTGACAGTAGGTACCTGCTGCTGGTGACAGTAGGTACCTGCTGCTGTTGACAGTAGGTACCTGCTGCTGGTGACAGTAGGTACCTGCTGCTAGTGACAGGTGGTACCTGCTGCTGGTGACAGTAGGTACCTGCTGCTGGTGACAGTAGGTACCTGCTGCTGGTGACAGTAGGTACCTGCTGCTGGTGACAGTAGGTACCTGCTGCTAGTGACAGGTGGTACCTGCTGCTGGTGACAGGTGGTACCTGCTGCTGGTGACAGTAGGTACCTGCTGCTGGTGACAGTAGGTACCTGCTGCTGGTGACAGGTGGTACCTGCTGCTGGTGACAGTAGGTACCTGCTGCTGGTGACAGTAGGTACCTGCTGCTGGTGACAGGTGGTACCTGCTGCTGGTGACAGGTGGTACCTGCTGCTGGTGACAGTAGGTACCTGCTGCTGGTGACAGTAGGTACCTGCTGCTGGTGACAGGTGGTACCTGCTGCTTGTGACAGGTGGTACCTGCTGCTGGTGACAGTAGGTACCTGCTGCTGGTGACAGGTGGTACCTGCTGCTGGTGACAGGTGGTACCTGCTGCTGGTGACAGGTGGTACCTGCTGCTGGTGACAGGTGGTACCTGCTGCTGGTGACAGGTGGTACCTGCTGCTGGTGACAGGTGGTACCTGCTGCTGGTGACAGGTGGTACCTGCTGCTGGTGACAGGTGGTACCTGCTGCTGGTGACAGGCCAGTTATGTCCCTTATGTGTAGTGGAAGCGTGTTGAACAGTCTCGGGCCTCTGATGTTGATAGTTCTCTCTTGAACACTGTGAGGGGTCGGCCAGTTATGTCCCTTATGTGTAGTGGAAGCGTGTTGAACAGTCTCGGGCCTCTGATGTTGATAGTTCTCTCTTGAACACTGTGAGGGGTCGGCCAGTTATGTCCCTTATGTGTAGTGGAAGCGTGTTGAACAGTCTCGGGCCTCTGATGTTGATAGTTCTCTCTTGAACACTGTGAGGGGTCGGTCAGTTATGTCCCTTATGTGTAGTGGAAGCGTGTTGAACAGTCTCGGGCCTCTGATGTTGATAGTTCTCTCTTGAACACTGTGAGGGGTCGGCCAGTTATGTCCCTTATGTGTAGTGGAAGGGTGTTGAACAGTCTCGGGCCTCTGATGTTGATAGTTCTCTCTTGAACACTGTGAGGGGTCGGCCAGTTATGTCCCTTATGTGTAGTGGAAGCGTGTTGAACAGTCTCGGGCCTCTGATGTTGATAGTTCTCTCTTGAACACTGTGAGGGGTCGGCCAGTTATGTCCCTTATGTGTAGTGGAAGCGTGTTGAACAGTCTCGGGCCTCTGATGTTGATAGTTCTCTCTTGAACACTGTGAGGGGTCGGCCAGTTATGTCCCTTATGTGTAGTGGAAGCGTGTTGAACAGTCTCGGGCCTCTGATGTTGATAGTTCTCTCTTGAACACTGTGAGGGGTCGGCCAGTTATGTCCCTTATGTGTAGTGGAAGCGTGTTGAACAGTCTCGGGCCTCTGATGTTGATAGTTCTCTCTTGAACACTGTGAGGGGTCGGCCAGTTATGCCCCTTATGTGTAGTGGAAGCGTGTTGAACAGTCTCGGGCCTCTGATGTTGATAGTTCTCTCTTGAACACTGTGAGGGGTCGGCCAGTTATGTCCCTTATGTGTAGTGGAAGAGTGTTGAACAGTCTCGGGCCTCTGATGTTGATAGTTCTCTCTTGAACACTGTGAGGGGTCGGCCAGTTATGTCCCTTATGTGTAGTGGAAGCGTGTTGAACAGTCTCGGGCCTCTGATGTTGATAGTTCTCTCTTGAACACTGTGAGGGGTCGGCCAGTTATGTCCCTTATGTGTAGTGGAAGCGTGTTGAACAGTCTCGGGCCTCTGATGTTGATAGTTCTCTCTTGAACACTGTGAGGGGTCGGCCAGTTATGTCCCTTATGTGTAGTGGAAGCGTGTTGAACAGTCTCGGGCCTCTGATGTTGATAGTTCTCTCTTGAACACTGTGAGGGGTCGGCCAGTTATGTCCCTTATGTGTAGTGGAAGCGTGTTGAACAGTCTCGGGCCTCTGATGTTGATAGTTCTCTCTTGAACACTGTGAGGGGTCGGCCAGTTATGTCCCTTATGTGTAGTGGAAGCGTGTTGAACAGTCTCGGGCCTCTGATGTTGATAGTTCTCTCTTGAACACTGTGAGGGGTCGGCCAGTTATGTCCCTTATGTGTAGTGGAAGCGTGTTGAACAGTCTCGGGCCTCTGATGTTGATAGTTCTCTCTTGAACACTGTGAGGGGTCGGCCAGTTATGTCCCTTATGTGTAGTGGAAGCGTGTTGAACAGTCTCGGGCCTCTGATGTTGATAGTTCTCTCTTGAACACTGTGAGGGGTCGGCCAGTTATGTCCCTTATGTGTAGTGGAAGCGTGTTGAACAGTCTCGGGCCTCTGATGTTGATAGTTCTCTCTTGAACACTGTGAGGGGTCGGCCAGTTATGTCCCTTATGTGTAGTGGAAGCGTGTTGAACAGTCTCGGGCCTCTGATGTTGATAGTTCTCTCTTGAACACTGTGAGGGGTCGGCCAGTTATGTCCCTTATGTGTAGTGGAAGCGTGTTGAACAGTCTCGGGCCTCTGATGTTGATAGTTCTCTCTTGAACACTGTGAGGGGTCGGCCAGTTATGTCCCTTATGTGTAGTGGAAGCGTGTTGAACAGTCTCGGGCCTCTGATGTTGATAGTTCTCTCTTGAAGACTGTGAGGGGTCGGCCAGTTATGCCCCTTATGTGTAGTGGAAGCGTGTTGAACAGTCTCGGGCCTCTGATGTTGATAGTTCTCTCTTGAACACTGTGAGGGGTCGGCCAGTTATGCCCCTTATGTGTAGTGGAAGCGTGTTGAACAGTCTCGGGCCTCTGATGTTGATAGTTCTCTCTCAGAGTACCTGTTGCACCTCTGCTCTTCAACGGGGGTATTCTGCACATCCTGCCATGTCTTCTGGTCTCATATGTTATTTCTTTGTGCAGGTTTGGGACCAGCCCCTCAATTATTTTCCACGTGTAAATTATTATGTACCTCTCCCGCCTGCGCTCAAGGGAGTACAGATTTAGGCTCTTTAGTCGGTCCCAGTAATTTAGATGTTTTACTGAGTGGATTCTAGCAGTAAAGGATCTCTGCACGCTCTCTAGGTCAGCAATTTCTCCAGCTTTGAAAGGGGCTGTCATTGTGCAGCAGTACTCCACTCTAGAGAGCACAAGAAAGTCTTGAAGAGTATCATCATTGGTATAGCATCTCTAGTGTGAAAGGTTCTTGTTACCCTGCTGCTGTTAGCAACAGGATAGCAACAGCAGGTAGCAACTGCTGTTGCTATCTACTGCTAGCAACAGGAGGCGCCTGCTCCCGAACATTTGTGAGTGAATAAACAATAGATTTTATTTACTAATTCCATTTGTCGGGGCCACAACACTTGTGCATAGGCACGTGAAGGTGTTCCTACACCAGTTGCTTACCCTATGCAGGATGCATCCCACAACAGTTAGCTAACTCCAAGCTACCTATTTTACTGCTAGGTGAAGACAGACATACGGTAAAAGGAAACCCGGTGATTATATTTGTGTTCGTCGATTGTGAGTGGAGGACGTAGACCACTATTCTACAGAGCCCATAATTTACCAAGGTATGACTGAGATAAAGTTCGTGGTTGTCTGGTGGTGGTGGTGGCAGCCTTCTCCCTCCTCAGCTCTCACCTAATGTGAGCATGGCTACTTAACCCAAGATGTTAACATGCTCCCATACACCTTGATCGTTGAGGCCGAGCAACTATGAGGTCAAGTGTGGCAGGTTCATCATTACCCCGTCATCCTTGAGGGCCCAGTGTGGTGCTGAACATGTCGTGTTGCCTCCTGTTATGTAGTTCTCCTCCCTCGGTCTATAACACCCAGAGGCTTCCCCTGTTCTTCACATTTATTTGACATGATTGGACTCCCCCCTATGATTAAGAGCCATTAATGAGAGTAACAGCGGCCCTGTTGCTGGTCTCGTTCTCCTGCTGCGTGTGTGTCGTATTGTGGAGGCTTCCATATTACTGCAACACTTACTGCTGTTGTTCTCACTATATAGTCACTCTACACGTGACAGCTTGTGATCCACTGATCCTTCACTGTGGAGTCCTCACTGGTCACCTGCCGCCTGTCCCTCTCCTCTCCTACCATGTGTTGGTCTTGTGGCGCCGGAGTCCTACCGCTCCTGACAATATTGTTTCTCTTATCACTACATCCTGTTTCTCACGTTTGATTCCTGCACCTTACCCTTTATAATTTATAGCACAGATGCGTTATCATTTATGGCGTATCGTATGGTAAGGATGGGGTGTGGGGAGGTGGGGAGCGGGGCGGGGAATTTTGGGGTGAGGTTTGGTGGGGGAAGTCAGAGGCTGGGAAGTTGCTGAGGAAAGGTTGATGGTATGGAGATGTAGTGGAGTAACGGGTAGGAAGGTTGTGGGAGGGAGTGATGTGTACCGCTGTGGTGGATGGTCCTCGGGGCTCAGGGCTATCTTGAGGTTATCTTGAGATGATTTCGGGGCTTTTTAGTATCCCCGCGGCCCGGTCCTCGACCAGATCTTCAACCCCAGGAAGCAGCCCGTGACAGCTGACTAACACCCAAGTACCTATTTTACTGCTAGGTAACAGGGGCATAGGGTGAAAGAAACTCTGCCCATTGTTTATCGCCAGCGCCTGGGATCGAACCCAGGACCACAGGATCACAAGTCCAGCATGCTGTCCGCTTGGCTGCCTGGCTCCCCAATAGGGCTAGAGGACAAACACGCACTCTCTTGAACATTATATTGTAGAATGTCCCATATTGACTGATTTTCGCCCTCTTGGGCTGAGGTATGCTGAACTCTGTAACTACGATACGAATACTGGAACGCTTGATGATATATTGGACTTGTACCCAAGACTGACCATGTAATGTATCAGCTATACAATGTGTGTGTGTGATGTAACTATATAACCTGAGCTTGTAAAAGCATCTTCATCACCTTCAGTGATTAAGTGCTTAATTGCACACTAGTTTCTCTATCAGCTATCTTATCCTCTCAGAGTAGGAGAGCCATAAATGTATGTGTATGTATGTATGCTTGTATATATATATATATATATATATATATATATATATATATATATATATATATATATATATATATATATATATATATATGTGTGTGTGTGTGTGTGTGTGTGTGTGTGTGTGTGTATATATGTATGTGTATGAAGTATATGTGGAAGCTGATCAGTATTACATTTCACCCTTGTAAATGCACGTTAATAACACTATGTAAATGACACATCGAACACTTTATGTAGGGCAGACGTAACTCTGTGTATCTATGTATTTACGTCTGTAGGTTAGCTTAGCATTTTAAAAGCACTACAATCACCTTCTATGGTTGATTGTTCAATAAATCCCTGAACTATATGATTAACTGCTCTCTCAACCTGTCCATGGAGGACAGAAGAAAATGTATATATGCTGGTTAGCACTGTACTCGTGTACACGTGTGTACAGGTGGAGGAGAACACGGGTGTTCAGGTAAACAAGAACACAGGTGTACAGGTAAACAAGAACACAGGTGGACGTTTGTAACAGGCAGACAAATAAAACAAGTGAAGTAGACACAACAACACATTTATTTGTTTACTAAAACATTAGTAGAGTAGCTGGGAGGGTTGTAACAAGCACAGGACACAACCCAGCCGTATGAGTGCAAGGTGACAAGTGTTTATAACCCTCCCATCATGTCGGGGCTCACCGTCCCCGCGGCCCGGTCCTCGACCAGACTGTGTAGTACACAGAGGTTGCTCTCTGTGTGTGTGAGGGGGGTGTATAGTGTTATACTAAGCTTACAGTAATGCCATTGGGGGAAGGGGCTCTATACCAACCTTCCCCGCAGATGTTCTCTATACAGAGCAAGTGATTATTTGTCAATGTTCACGACATGAGTTCAGAGTGTGCAGAGAGCTTAAGTATCCGTGTAAGTAGGTACCCTCGTCGCCTCATGTCTTATAACATGCACGAGAAGGGACAACAATTATAACAATGCCCATTAGTTAAGCGTTTGAAGACGTTATTACATTCCGTTTTCTGTGACGTTCTCTCTGACGTCATCATTCACCCTTGTCGGTGACGTTATCGGTGATGTCATCCTTGTGTCGATGACGTGTCTCTGACGTCATCGCTAGCTGCGAGACTTATCGTTTAGTGTCACTCTAGCGAGTCCCTCCCCTGTGACGTCACTCCTCAACTGAGAGGTCAAAAGCGAAAAGTCACCTGGGAAAATTACTAGCCATTATCACTCTGGGTCACGAGGAAGTGACCAAGAAAGGTCACCATAGGTCAGGAGGGGAAGGTCACCAGGGAAGGTCATCAGGGAAGATCAGGAGTCCGGTCACTACTTTAAGGCTTCGTTGACCTCGGCGTAGCGCTCACCGAAGCCGTCCTCGGAGGCCACCTTCCTGAAGAAGTTGTTGTTCATCCAGTAGAGGTCGTGGGCGTGTTCACAGGGCACGGCCTCCGTCGACCAGGCACACACCATGGCGTCCTGTGAGGGTAGATACGTCCGTCAGGGGATGTTTACTGGTATGCTGGAGTATGCTGCTCTCATTACTAGCATACCCGGGTACAAGACCCGCCCTCACATTACAGGCGAAAATGTCATGCAAAATACTACAGTGTACATCATCTCACTCTGATGTAAATCAACTCTTATTAATGTATATGATCTCACGTGTATGGTATCTCATTAGTGGACACCAACTCACCTGAATGTCCATGGAGGGTGGAGTGCCTGAGCTCACCTGGGGGTACATCAACTCACCTGAATGTCCATGGAGGGTGGAGTGCCTGAGCTCACCTGGGGGTACATCAACTCACCTGAATGTCCATGGAGGGTGGAGTGCCTGAGCTCACCTGGGGGTACATCAACTCACCTGAATGTCCATGGAGGGTGGAGTGCCTGAGCTCACCTGGGGGTACATCAACTCACCTGAATGTCCATGGAGGGTGGAGTGCCTGAGCTCACCTGGGGGTACATCAACTCACCTGACTGAAGAGAGTGTACTCTGGACAGATGAAGCTGAACTGGAAGGTTATTGGTGTGGTGAAGTTCTCAGGGTAGAGCTGTTGTAGTGGCAGACACACGTGGAAGATCTGGCACTCATTGTCCTGGTCAGCGTAGTATCCGTACGCCTGAGGGGAAGGTACTCTTAGTCTGGCAGACACCTTAGTTACCTCTGTATATGTCTGTTATTGTTGTGGCAGACACCTTAGTTACCTCTGTATATGTCTGTTATTGTTGTAACAGACACCTCAGTTACCTCTGTATATGTCTGTTATTGTTGTGGCAGACAGCTCAGTTACCTCTGTATATGTCTGTTATTGTTGTGGCAGACACCTCAGTTACCTCTGTATATGTCTGTTATTGTTGTGGCAGACACCTCAGTTACCTCTGTATATGTCTGTTATTGTTGTGGCAGACACCTCAGTTACATCTGTATATGTCTGTTATTGTTGTGGCAGACACCTCAGTTACCTCTGTATATGTCTGTTATTGTTGTGGCAGACACCTCAGTTACCTCTGTATATGTCTGTTATTGTTGTGGCAGACAGCTCAGTTACCTCTGTATATGTCTGTTATTGTTGTGGCAGACACCTCAGTTACCTCTGTATATGTCTGTTATTGTTGTGGCAGACACCTCAGTTACCTCTGTATATGTCTGTTATTGTTGTGGCAGACACCTCAGTTACATCTGTATATGTCTGTTATTGTTGTGGCAGACACCTCAGTTACCTCTGTATATGTCTGTTATTGTTGTGGCAGACACCTCAGTTACCTCTGTATATGTCTGTTATTGTTGTGGCAGACACCTTAGTTACCTCTGTATATGTCTGTTATTGTTGTGGCAGACACCTCAGTTACCTCTGTATATGTCTGTTATTGCTTTAGTAACAGTCATCTGTTGTTCTCACCTCTCTCTCTCTCTTTTTAAACAAAAACTAGGGTTCATAAGGGCTGTCAAGTGACGTACTTAGTGAAATTGCAAGCAAGAGTTGTTATCTCTCTCTCCCTCCCTCTCCCTCCCTCTTTCTCTCTGGTGAGAACAGCTAGTTGAGAACACTGAGAAGCAAACACCAACACAAGCATCGAGTGATAAAACAACTTACTCTTCCTTCGCAAGTGAAGGTGTCGACGATATTGGGCCGAATGAGGGTAGCGTTGTCGACGAGTCTGTCGATGATGGGGGCGAGTACAGGTTTGCTGGCGATGAGGCGGGCATCTCTGGGGGCGTGCAGCAGTACTCTGCCCACCTGAGCGTCCACCAGAAGCTCTTGACCCGTGGGGCGTGGGTCAGCGAACAGGTTGGGGCGGCCTGGACCCACCTGCGGGGCGCCGCTCACCAGGGACGCTGTAGACACAGGTGTTATTAAGTTTACCACCTCACAATTACACAGGTACACCACAGGTAAACCCCACCAACACCACCATACACTTAGTTTACAGTGAGTGAAGCCACTGCTGTTAGTCAGTGACTGAATGAGTCTGGCACTGAGCACTGCTGTGAGGGATTATGCAGCGGGGTGTTGGTCATATATCAAACAAAATACATTACGATACAATGGTTACAAAATTTGTTAAGTTTAGATTAAGAACAAGACCTGGCCAAAGAGGAGCTGCGGTGGGTGGGGCAGTAGGCCTCCTCCACCTGTCTTTATTGCTGTGTTGTTAAGAGTGCATGGGTGCTGGAGTCCCTTCACTCAGCTGAGTGAGGGGACTCAGGTCAGTAAGAGTACACAAGATGAAGACAAGCTTCTCCCAGAGGACCAACAGGAGAACATTGAAGACAAGCCTTATAACTCTACCACTACAACACCATACAATATTTCCTCATTGAAGAATATGATGTGAAAGATGATCATACGGGAATTAGCAGAGAGATAAGTTACATTATATAAGATAAAACACAGAGATTAGGTGTGAGAGTGCTACCAAGAGTGTGAGTGATAGTGAGTGCTACCAAGAGTGTGAGTGATAGTGAGAGTGCTACCAAGAGTGTGAGTACTACCAAGAGTGTGAGTGATAGTGAGTGCTACCAAGAATGTGAGTGATAGTGAGAGTGTGAGTGATAGCGTCAGTGTGAGAGTAATAATAAGAGAAAGTGTGAGTGTGTTAGACTGAGTATGAAGGGAGTTTAAGCGTGGGAGAAGCGTACATGGGAGAGACGGGTCACAGAAGACCTATTGATCCACGGGTATATGCTATTCAATGAGAATGACTTAAGCTCGACTCTAAATCAAGCGTGGGGAACGAGAAGTAGGATAGCACAGCCAGCATGTTCATCAGATAGCAGGTGTGGTGGGAGACACAGTTAGACACAGTGAGACATAGTGAGACACAGTGAGACACAGTGAGACACAGTGAGACACAGTGTGACACAGTGAGACACAGTGTGACACAGTATGACACAGTGAGACACAGTATGACACAGTGAGACACAGGGGTACATGAGAGATGACTCACCAGCCAGCAGCAGCACCATGAAGGAGTAGTGAACCATCTCGAGTTGATCTGCAACACAACAAGAAATAAGTTACTATACACATATATAGTATAGTTCTGGATCCTATACACAAATTTTATGTAGAAATATAGTAACCTCAGCCACGCCAACCCGCGCGTACATGCTCGTGCGCGCGCGCACACATAGAGCTCGAGAATCTGTACACCAATAGAGTGACGGTTGAGAGGCGGGACCAAAAAGCCGAAGCTCAACCTCCGCAAGCACAACTAGGTGAGTACAGAGACACAGGGAGACTGTTCCGGATACATTATGTGTCCGGGAGAGAGAGAGGCCGGAGGTGGGAGCCAGACACTTGAGTGTTACAGCAGCAGACGGCAGCTTTGAGTCAACGGCCGGCGGGGCGTCCGCACCAGCGCTTTAATACACCTTCCGCTATTATACCTGTTGTTACTTATTGCTGCCTCGCCTCTGCTGCCTCGTCTCACTCTCTGCTGCCTCCCACCTGCTGCCTCCACGCCCCCTCCCCCCTCCTGCATAATGACCACTGTTGTGCGCCATTTGTACCTCTATTAACACCCATTTCCGCAGTAATGGACGTGTGCCCGTAAGTGGACAACCCCTGCCCGTCGTGTGGTACACATTGTTCATGCCGGTATAACCCATCTATTTCCCACGCTCCCTTGGATTTACTGGTCTAGTGCTTCACAAGTTACTTCAAGTTTCAGTAGCCTAACTTAGCTCTGATACTCCTTAAATCCAAGGTTAATACTGCTTAATTAGATTAAGGAGTATTGCTCCATAGTTTGAGGTAAAGCCTCAGCAGGTCAAGTCAACCCAAGGTCACCACATTATATTGACCAAGCTGGAGTTATTACAGTAGTGATCAAGTTAGCGGTTATTACATTGGCGTGGAGAGACGGGTAGGGCGTTATCTTATCTTGAGGTTATCTTGAGATGATTTCGGGGCTTAGCTTCCCCGCGGTCCAGTTCTCGACCACGTCTCCTTTTTTGTTACACCCCTTCCCCAGGAAGCAGCCCGTAGCAGCTGTCTAACTCCCAGGTACCTATTTACTGTTAGGTGAATAGGGGTATTAGTGTGAAAGAAACTCGGCCCATTTGTATCCGTCTCCGCCGGGGGTCCAGCCCGGAACGTTAGGACTACGAATCCCGAGCGTTGTCCACTCAGCCGTCAGGCCCCCCCCCCCTAGGAGGGATAGAGGCATGGGAGGGGGAAGAGGGACGTGGAAGGGATAGAGGCATGGAGGGGAGGGGGACGTGGAAGGGGGTGTGTGTTAATAGACAGGTGAATCAGGACAGGAGCAGCAGCCTGTGAAGCAGTCGGCCACCTTGTGAGCCAGGGCGGCTGTTGGTCCTGGTGTTTACCTCGCCTCTACACCGCCCCACCACCACGTAAACGTTTGTTTGTGGTGTAAACGTTTTGTTTGTCTGCTGATGTCATCCCTCGTGTGAGCGAAGTGATGAGGGAGACACACGGGGCAACCCTCGCCTCCTTTACCAACACTTGGAAAACTTTGCAGATGTTTGTTTATAGTCACGTCACTTATTATTTTTTTGAACTTGTCGGGTTACCATTAAACACGTTTCCCAGAATGTATCGCTCGCTGGACGAGATGCTTTGATACATGAAGTAAACGGTGGTATACATCCACAGTTATGTTTTTATTAATTTTACCCCGAGGGGCGAGTTTATTGGGCAGCGCCACTCATCCTGTGAGTGGACACACCGCCATAGTGACAGTATTGGGCAGCGCCACTCATCCTGTGAGTGGACACACCGCCATAGTGACAGTATTGGGCAGCGCCACTCATCCTGTGAGTGGACACACCGCCATAGTGACAGTATTGGGCAGCGCCACTCATCCTGTGAGTGGACACACCGCCATAGCAGCATGTACAACACTCCTCAATAGGAAGAAAACCCGCTGGGTTGTTCATCCTGTCACTTGTACCCAGACACAGCTGGGACTTGCTTAACTGTCTCAAGTGAACAGCTCCTCAAACAAGAAGATTAACATCTGTCAACCCTTAAAAACTTAGGTTATCTTGCGGGTGCAAAATGGGGGAATCTTTTAAGAACAGAATCAATGTTTGATAAATAGTATTTTCCTAACTCAAACAATGAGGGGTTTATTATTCTACACATATTTCTGATGACTCTTAGATGTTCACATTCTCTCAGGTAGTGGTCAAGGCGGTGTCCGTCACTCTCACCACAGATTCTGCAACTCCGCTGCTCAACTGTTGTTTCCATTCCGAATCTCCATGGATATTTGTATCCAAGACGGATTCTCGCTATTACAGATTCTCTCCCTCGTCCTCCTCCTATTCGGCCATAATGATTGGGATTGCCAGCTGCAACCATGTTGTACCATCGTACAGATTCACTGGTTTGTGCTTCTATCCTCCTTTCCTCAGTTACCTCGTCACGGTGATGTTGCCTGACAATACCTCTAATTTGTGTGGAGGATATTGCTATACTCCAGCAGTATACCCGGGGTGGGCTCTGGGTGTTGTTATACTCCTGCAGTATACCCGGGGAGGGCTCTGGGTGTTGTTATACTCCTGCAGTATACCCGGGGTGGGCTCTGGGTGTTGTTATACTCCTGCAGTATACCCGGGGAGGGCTCTGGGTGTTGTTATACTCCTGCAGTATACCCGGGGTGGGCTCTGGGTGTTGTTATACTCCAGCAATATACCCGGGGTGGGCTCTGGGTGTTGTTATACTCCTGCAGTATACCCGGGGAGGGCTCTGGGTGTTGTTATACTCCTGCAGTATACCCGGGGTGGGCTCTGGGTGTTGTTATACTCCAGCAGTATACCCGGGGTGGGCTCTGGGTGTTGTTATACTCCAGCAATATACCCGGGGTGGGCTCTGGGTGTTGTTATACTCCTGCAGTATACCCGGGGTGGGCTCTGGGTGTTGTTATACTCCTGCAGTATACCCGGGGTGGGCTCTGGGTGTTGTTATACTCCTGCAGTATACCCGGGGTGGGCTCTGGGTGTTGTTATACTCCTGCAGTATACCCGGGGAGGGCTCTGGGTGTTGTTATACTCCTGCAGTATACCCGGGGTGGGCTTTGGGTGCTGTATACTCCTGGAGGGTCGAGCGAGGTCCCGCGGGCCGTGACACCTTCCCAGTGCTATGTAGGGGTAATGGCTTGGCGCTCTCCCCTGATAGTTACCTTCCCTTCCTCAAGTCCGACCAATGGTCCTCTTGTCATAACTTGGTGTAGTAGATATGCTGGGACCCGCCCACACATCTGAGGTAGTTATACACACACCTGAGGTAGGTATACACACACCTGAGATAGTTATACACACACCTGAGATAGTTATACACACACCTGAGGTAGGTATACACACACCTGAGGCAGGTATACACACACCTGAGGCAGGTATACACATACACCTGAGGCAGGTATAGACACACGACAGGTTGTACCAGCGGAAGGTGAAGGTGGACACAGGTACCCACCCTGACTCAGGCATGACGGCCAACATTTCCAAGTGGACGGAGTATAAATGCCATGTTTACCGTGACTAATATTTTTACTGTGTTGACGCTGCCTGAACCTCGTGTTAGTCGTGTTGATCTTGCATGAGTGGCGGAGTATCTGAGAGGTGAAGGATGATACACACCTGATCCTGCCCTTCATGGTGACACAACACCACAATGTTTCACTATAATGTCCTCTCAAACCACAATGGTGTCCTCTCAAACACGCTAAGAGATGAACAACTGCATCACAGGACCTGTCCCGGGTCCTGTGATTAATGATGCCACCGTCGACCGGTCCCAGGAAGCGTCTACCTTGTTAGTAAACATGTCCTCGACGCCTCGGACGAGGCACATTAACAATGCTGGAAAATGGTCCAAGGACGAGGTGGGAATTATAATTCATTTGGCTCGTGCCGCCGCCGCCGCCAGTTATGTTTGTTGTGGTACAGGTCTGGGGCCGTCACTCTCCTCCGTCACTATCTTACTCCTTACTCTTCCTTCCTGCATATACCTTATACTTTATATATATATATATATATATATATATATATATATATATATAAATATATATATATATATATACATACATACTTACATACACAGCGGAGTGTCGGTCTCCCGTGAGAGGGAGAGGGGGCAAGACAGTACAATATAAGAGCCAGCGGTAAAGACAAAAAATGTGGACGATGGACATGTGGGAGAAGGGGGTGTTGCCCCCCCCCTTCCTCCCGTCACGGAAATCTCCCACCCTCCTCCCCCCCTCCCCCTCCATCACTACCAGTTGCTTGACTGCTCCTGTTTGCCGCCCCCTCCACTGCTCCGCCAACCCCCCCTACCTCTTCTGGGGCTCACCCCTCATTTATCTTGGGGCTTCCTCACACTCTCATCATTATCACCTCACTTTATTTTAGCTTTATCTTAACTTTCGTGGTGTTCGTGGTGTGGAGTAATAATAAGGGAGGGGGCTGGGGGAGGGGGTGTGTAGAGGGGGATAGGGGAAGGGGAATAGAGAGGGGGTCTTAGACAGGGAGGTGCGGTGAGGGGGGGGGGGGGTAATGTAGCGGTCAGCAGGTAATAGAGCAAGATTCCCCCCCCCCCTTACTCTTCCTCCAGTGTCCCTCACCTCCCCCACCCCCTGACAACCTTCCTGCGTCCCTGCTCTTGACCTTACCCTTGAAGAGCTGCAAGTTCCCCCTCCCCCCTCCCCCCCTCCCCCGGGTCCCGTTAATTCCACACCTCGACACTCTCCCCCCTCCCCCAGGCCATCACTCCCCCCCTTCTTCTTTCCCCCCGACCAACGACCCATCCCCCCCTCCCCCCCCCCCTTGCCTCCTGGCTCAGTCCTCCTCCACCGGGGTTCATGGTGTTCATCACAACCTGTTGAACAAGGCTGAACGCCCACACAAGGGACGGGGGGGGGGGAAGGGGGTGGGGGTCGCTTGGTCTGGCACGGGGGGTGAAGGAGGGGGGGGGGGTGTATGTGGACTTGATTAAGAACCACTTGTTGTGTATTAGCGCACTCACACG